TCCACAGGTGGTCTGCGAGGCAGCCTCGGCGGGCCTGTTGAAGACGATGCGCTTCGTCAAGTACTTACCCTGTTTCCAGGTTCTGCCCCTGGACCAGCAGCTGGTGCTGGTGCGCAGCGGCTGGGCGCCGCTGCTCATGCTTGAGCTGGCCCAGGACCGCGTCAATTTCGAGACCGTGGAGACCTTGGAGCCCAGTTGGCTGCAGAGCGTCCTCACCACCAGGCGGCGGGAGCCCTCGGGAGAGGAGCCCACNACGCCTGCCTCCACGCTGCAGCCGCGCTCGGCACCGCAGCCGGAGGCGGGCACCGCAGCCGCCGAGGTCCAGGCTATTAAGGGCTTCCTTGTCAAGTGCTGGAGCCTGGGCATCAGCACCAAGGAGTACGCCTACCTCAAGGGGATCGTGCTCTTCACCCCGGGTAAGGGCGTCGGCCTCGGGCTCTGGGTTTTCTCCGCTCGGTCGAGCACTGGGCAGTGCCTCCCAGGGCGCAGGCGGCGCAGAGCTTTCAGCGGCCAGGGGAGTGTCCGGGGAAAAGTGAAGAATGGGGGACTAACTCAGCACAGTTGGGGGAGTTCCACAAACCACTTCTTGTGGGTGGGCTGCTGCCAGAAACTCAGCCTAGAGGAGGGGGATATTTTGTTGAGGTTTGTACTTATCTCTCTGCAACTTTCAGTTACTACACAGAAGTTTGTGCCTTCAGGGGATAAGGGTATTCCTTCTCTAGTCTTTTAAATCCAGCAGCATAGGTTTAAAAAAGTTTGCATTTACTGAAATTCTTCATCATCTTTCTGAAACCCAGTTGTGAAATTTACTAGAACCTTTTTGTTGGAGAAACTCTATTAAGACTGGCAAGAAAGGAAGCATTTATTAACAACCCATAGAGGGACCATTCTCTGGAGACACTGTCAGGCAGGACACTGGACTTGGTTAGTGTTCCACAGCTCTGTCTCTGAATGGTCATTTTTATGGTCCTAAGCAGCTGGACTATCTCCTCCCCCAAGTGTCTGTAAGTATCTGGCTAGCAATGGGGCAGGAAAATGACACTAGGGACTGTGAGCAGGAACACTGTATTTTAGGGCTTGAAAAGAACTTAGAGACCTCCTCCTTAAGTCGCTCTGCCCTCTACCCCATTTGCAGATTAGGTAGCCTGGTCCCAGGGGACCTTACTGCAAAATAAATGGCCGGTGAGTTGTGGAGCATGAGCCTCCTGTCTCTTCGGCCCAATGCCTGTTGGGTGAGGGACACTTTCTTCCACACAGTGCAACCAAATCATGGGAGAACATCTTCCTGGACAGCCCAGCACCTAGTCTCAAATATGTCCTACTACTAAAGTCATCTTTAATCAGAATCTGTCCAACAGGCCACAGTGGGCAGGAAGTTTCCAGGCAGCTTGAATTGGGACAGTTTTCATAACATGTTTTTTTTCCTGACACGAGGAGTCTCAGGTTATGTCCTTACCTCCTGCCTAGCATTTTTTAAGGGGTATAGAGCAGTATTTAGAGAGAAAATAATTCATTTAGAATTCACATTTCAGAACCTAGAGACCTCAGCTCATCACAGCTATCATTGTAGGCCACCTTTTGCTTATATCATTGTTTTCCAAACTTGTCTGTGCATTAGAAATACTTCAGTGGGGAGGAGGGGGGGCTTGTTTAAAGTCTCTTTAGGCCCCTCCCCTAGAGATTCTGATTCAGTAGCTCTGGTCCAGGGTCTGCAAATCTGCATTCATCATAAGTGCCCCAGGTAGTTCTTAAGATCATTGGGAAATCGTTTTCTCGCTCCTTCAGCCTGTTATTAAACATCTACCATGTGCTTTGTTCTGTTGGAATACAAAGATAACACAGGGGCTCAATTTCCAGAAGTTTACATTCCACTAGTTTCCCTCTTTTCCTCCACCCTGTTTTGCACACCTCTCTCTCTCTCTCTCTCTCTCACACACACACACACACACACATACACAATCTCTCTTATTCTTGCTCTGCTTCTCAGAATCCTCCCAATATGAGTTTAGCCAGCTAGACTGAGTGTGTTTAAAACACAAATGCACCTGTATTGGTGGAGGGAATAAAGCCTGTTAAATATGTGTCCTTTCTTTGCTGCTTATCCTTTTGTATCCCCTGATCTTTATGTTTAAACTTTTTTTTTTTACTGTGGAGTCTATCTAACCACCTGTTTCCAGCCCCCTCCCCCCCAATTTACTTTAAAGACAAGTCATTTTGGGGGGAAAAACCACTTTGTGGGGAGGAGTGAGGTGGAAACGGAAAGGTGTGGTGTGAAAGTTGAGAAAAGTGATGTGGAGTTCACAAGATAAAGTTTTAATGATCCATGAATCTAGACTTGGAGGAGCTTCAAATTTCTGTGGAGTTTCATGCAAGCCTCTTTTTACCCTCACCAGTGGAATGCAAACCCAATAAAATTGGGTCTCAAGCCTGGATAAAGAGCTGCAGGTAGTAGGGGATGTTAATGTGTGGACTGGGGTAATCAGAATTGGAACATGGATTAGATATGCTGCTTTTGCTCTCACTTTATTTGTCAAATTTGGTAGCTGCCTATGATAGGAATGACTCATCTATTGCCATTATTATTTTTTTAAAGGACACTGACTGGTTCTGCTACCCTGTGATGATTAGCATGGTGCTTTTAAAATACTTTTCTGCCCAATAAATTCAATAAAAAAAGGAAAAAATTCTTTCTGTTGGATTTTGTAGAAAAAGAGAAGGGAAATGATTGCAGTCATCATTGACATCATTAAACAGAATAGTAAATTGGTAATTTCTTACATACAAGTTAAAGAACTTTACAGTAATATTAATATCATAGAGGATCAAAGAACTTTAAAAAGCAGCCTCTTCTTACCACCTTCTTAAATTTACAGGCACTTCATCTTTCCTGCATTGTATTTCACTCAGTTTTACTTGGGTCTCACACTGGACTGCAAGAAGGTCATGTGTTCTCTATTTGAAAAGTTACTTTTGAACCATGTTGCAATCCATGATGCTTTCATGTTGACTTTTTAACCTTTTAATAGCTGTAAAACAATGCTTTCAAAGACCTCTTACTTTAAAGTAATATATATTTTTTATAAGAGCCTTTTGGAACACTCGTTAGAATCACTCTTTTTCTTTTTACCTTCCCCAATACAGAAATTATGGTACGAGGAGCTAAGTGGCCAGTGTTATCTCATAAGTTACAGCACTCTAGACTAAAATCAGCCTGCAAGCAAATAATTAATATGAGACTGTGACTTGTAGTTTGTGGCTGTGAAGTTTACCACCATCAGCTGGATAATTATTATAATGGCAGAAAATTCAAGGGAAGATGATAAAATATTTGTTATCTAGCAAAACTTGTCACTGTACAATGGCCTGTTTCCCACAGGTAAATGGTAAAGTGCTCGCTTCTTGAAATAATTTTACTTTCTTCATATTTGCACAGATAGTAAACTAGAGCAATGATTCCTTAAACTATATTCTGCTGTCATATTGAAATAAGTGTGCATTTGTTGGCTCAGGGCCAGCAGTTTTTAAGTGTGAGGATACAAACATAGTGGATAATAAATAAGAATAATTATATCATGTTTCATTCGTGAAAGCATTGCTTTTGAAAACTTAGAACTCATTTGGCATCTATCCTTGCTCTAGAAAGCCCTTTACACCAGGAAGCTGAGCTCTTGTTTAATTTGGGAAGGGGCAGAAATGCATATATTGAAAAAGCTAACAAAGGACTCTGTGAGTGAGCTGTTAATAACAAAGAGATTTCTCTCCCGTTTTCTCTTCCAGACCTGCCGGGCCTGCGGTGCGTGAAGTACATTCAGGGACTTCAGTGGGGAACTCAGCAGATCCTCGGCGAGTACACCAGGATGACATACAGGGGGTACCACGCCAGAGTCGCTGAACTGAATAGTGTCCTTTTCCAGCTTAGATTCATCAACGCCAATGCCGTTGCGGAACTGTTCTTCAGGTCCATCATTGGCACAGTCAGCATGGATGATATGATGCTGGAAATGCTCTGTACTAATTTATAAAGGCTTCTAGGGGCCACCCGAGTGCAGCTCACCATGGAGAAACGATAGGAGCTGTGTGCAGAAGAGTGTAAAATAGCATAAAATAAACTTTCTTATTATTTTTACATGCACGGTATTTTTGTATTCAATTAAGGGAAAACTTCAGTTATAGACAATTAGAAAATCCTCTGTATCATGCTGGTTCATTGTGAAGGAAAACATCTGCAACACATAACATATCTATCTCTGCACATCTTTATGGAAAGAGCAGGGTGCTACACTAATAAGCTATTTTCACAAGTTCGCGACTCTCCACTGAACCTGCTAAAATCAAATTTGTAATATTAAGTCTTAATAAATGTTAAGGTGTTAACCATCAACTTGATTGCAAAAGCTTTCATTAGAATTTAAGACTTCAAAAATATTTTAAAACCTAGCCAACATAAACAAAAATTAAGTTATCTTTGGAGATGGCGTTATGGCGTTTAATATTGTAACATGCCAGTGTCAGTGAGGGTAAGCTTGTCTCTGCCTTCACTGTCACTTCCATCAGCTCTGTGGAAGACTCTCTTTGTACCAAGTAGAGTCTGTAACCACAGCGGCACCTGAAAGTGAAGTAGGAGTTTTTCAGAGTTTTAGTTTGGGATTCTTTTGTACACAGAAAATAAAGTTCAACAAGAAACTTACATCTTATAGTTCCAGAGAGCCCGACATCATTACAAACCCCCAATTATACCTCATCTTTTAGGTACATTAAGATATGTAACTGTCACATTGAACAAGCATAGCACGAAATCATAAAATGACTTTATTGTTGGCTCCTGCTGCCCCTTGAAATGCCATCTGCAGAACTAGTTCTTCCTTATCTCTAGATAAAACTTAGGGCACTAGATGTTTATTCATTTGTAGATAACAAATTGCCCGTTAGTGCTTAATACATCTAGACCCATTGTAAGGAGTCTTCAGCTTTCTTTTGTGCAGAACCCTGGTGAATCCTCTGGACATCTTAGAATCAGCCTCAAAGGACAATGCAGCAAATAAAACACTTAAGATTACCAAGGTCAAAACATAATAAAATGGTAAATTTTAAAAATATTTTTAAGTGTGGCATAGTATATGTGTTTCTTTATCAACACATTAAATAACCAACTATCTACTAACTACCTTAATGTCAAAGCAATGAGCAATATAATTGAAATTTCAAAATGAACTACAACATCTATAATGTGGTAAGAAAATATTTGAGATGTTCCTTGGTTAGTGTGTTGAGGGACCCCAAGATCACCACCCCATTCAGAGATTTGCTAGAAGGTTTCATGGGACTCAGCAAGTAGTTGTGTTCAGGGCCAAGCTTATTACAAAGATGTGTAAGGATATATGGGTGGATCCCAAGGCGGGGTCTGAAGGAATCCACTTGCAGGAATCCTTCTGCTCTCCCTCTCCCATGAGGAGTCACACAGAGCACAGCCTTCCCAGCAATAAAAATTCGGCAACACGTGTGTCACATTCCTGCCTAGGGAAGCCCTTTGAGATTCAGAGTTTAGGGTTTTTATTGAGGGCTAGTCACATAGGCACCCTCTACCTAGCATGTACCAAAATTTCAAACACACAGAAAGAAAACAGGTGTTCAGCATAAACCCCATTGTTTGCACAAACAATCTAAGCACAGTGATTGACTCTTATGAGTTAAGGAAGGGTGGAAACACTCTCCAAATCTAAGTTCCCAGAGTCAGCCAAGGGTCAACCTCGCAAGCAGGCTATTCTAAGGATAGCAGTCTCAGTCTTGCTATGTTAACTTGTCTGCGTAATCCACTCCCTTGGCTTGGCCCAAGTGTCTTGACAGAATTATCATCAGTGGGACCCCACACAGCAGGGTGAATCCAACCTGCAGTATTGATTTCACTTTTGCCCTGTACAGGTCATGGACTTAGCCAGCTAAAACACATCCCATTACCCATAAAGGTCTGTCTTGGAAAGCCTGGCAGCTTCCTCCATAAGTTCCTTTATTAACCTGGCCAGAGGCATCAATTCAGGCTCAGCACAACTCTGGCAATGTCACAAAGGTCAGGGCGCACACCCAAGCAGTGCAATCTCTGAAGGCACATGAGGGCACACGCGTCACCTGGAAACAAAAAGTTTACTCTTAGCTATATCTTTCTTCCATCCTTCAAAAACCTATACCCCAAGCAGGACATACATTGGTTGGGCAGTACAGGATACCAGGACCCCCATGTGGCTTCCCACTGTGGTTCTTCCTGATCCAGAGTTCTCAGTTCAGTTGGAGTTACTTCAGTCCTTGACTTCAGCAGCACCACCTGAGTCAGTCAGTTCCAAACATTTCTGTCTTCGACTCAAGACACCTGCCAAGTGTGCAAGGCATGTGGAGGTGCTCTGCGGGACTGTGCAGGAGCTGGCCTCCCCCTGCTGTTTCACGGTCACACTGTCACATGCCATCTGGGCTCTGCAGTCCTTCTGAATCTGAGTGCTCGCAGCAGCTTGCAAAGGCAGCGCAAGTGCTTTCCTTCAGAAAGAGGGGAAAGCTTCCAGGAGCAGACAGGAAAACAAAGATCATTAATGCTCTGCCTCTGCCCCGTGACTTCCCAGATGCCACGGTCTGTTGTTGTTGTTACAAAGCCAGTGTGTCCCATTCACTAATCCTAACTTTACAATTCGTCCTAATCATTTCTTTTTCCACCCAGACCTTTCATCTGGAAGGGTTGTGTGCAAAATGGACAAAAGCATTTTCACAGAATAACATTTTTATCCAACTTAACCATAAAGACCTCATAGTCTGGAGAACTGGTCAGGGCAAGATCCTGATTTTTCCGTATTTTTTAAAAAAATGGATTTACAAAAAAAAAAAAAAAAAAAATTTACATAA